TTTGTTTTCCCGTATTTTGTGGAGGAATAATGCAGAAACATGATGACTTGGGAAGGAAGCATAAATCTTAATCATTTTATCTGCACTGTATCGTTTTATCCGCTTCCAATTTTTCCAGTTTGGAGTTTATTTGAGCTGATATTGTACCAGTGATGAAAAAAATTGGGTGACAAAGCTTCAATATGCTTGGGATGTTTAGCAAATATACATCAACAATGGTCAAATAAATTAACGACAAATCAATCTGTTACTAGGATGAAGGGTTGGGTAAGATGATATATAAAAAAATGAATAAATTAGGAATAGTCGAATTAATCGGTCCTTGACAGCCAAGAAAACTGAAAAAAGGCCATTTTTTAAAATGAAAAAGTTATGTTAGTGGCTATCATCGTAGATCTTATTAGAAAACATTCTAGTCACAAGTCATGTATACGGTATAATATGACTGTATCATAATTTGCTGCTTCTGGTTCTTGCCATCTGCAGCTTCTCACATTTTTTGCTGGCTCTTTCCAGTAATTCACCTCTTCGGATAGCTTTCTGCTAAACTTTGGCTTATCACTTCGGGATCACTGCACAGCTACAGCGGGGTTTTTGTTCTTATAAATCCTCACAGCAGTGGCGTATCACGTTCGCCTGTCGTCGCCTTTCTATAATCTCCAAGAATTTTTACACTACAAAGTCAAAGATTTCCTTATACATTAAAAAACGCTTCTAAAAAGGCTCAATAAGATAAAAGTGTGAAGATGAAGAAAATAAAAAAAGCTAAAAGCTGTAGGCAACAAATTCCTTACAAAAACGTTTTTTAGGTCCTCAATCTACAGACTTTTTCTTTCTAAAAACAAATTACTACTTAGATTATTGCTCTTGCAGCTCCAATTTACAGCAAACTGATTTTGTACCAGTTTTTTTTCTATCTGTTTTAACAGTTCTTTTTAAGGAGTTGCTTTACAATAAAGCGATATTGTTGACCGGAACAGTTGAAAAGGATCTGAAGGCGACTTTCCATAACTACTCACACAGAACACACTAAGCAGATATTGTTTCAAAGTACTCTTTAAGGCTTAACTTATTATGAAAAAAATATCATTTACTGGTGATTAGTAGATATCTTTTGTCTACAAAAGTAATATAGTTTCTTAAGACTGTTTCCTTGGCTCTTTCTAGAAAAATGGCTTTCTGATGTCTGATGGCATAAAAAAACTATCTTCACGAAACCTATGAAAAATCATAATCAACTTCTGCTTGTAAAGAACTAATACATTAAGCGTTCGTTAACTTTAGCAACAGTTGTCACACCAATCACATTTTTGCTGCGGTTTAGATACCAGAGCCCGTAAATCAGTTTTTTAGTAACACTGCATATTCTGCTATGAGATTCTATCGTTCTCTCTTTTGTTAAGCTTTAACCATTCCGAAAAAATGTACAATTCTGATTTGGGGCATAATAGTTTTTTTACAGAGAGTTGTCGGGTTACGGTCTATTGCATTTAAGAACTAGATTCTGCCTATTTATTTGTTCTTTCAGGAGTTAGAATGATCAATTTTTCTTGACTACGGTTCCTAGAAAATTTTTGTGCTCGTAGCTGAAGGCTTTAAAAACTTCATTTACAAAATCACCGATTAATTTACAACTTCATTACTTCCTTCATCTTCACATTAGCTGGTTTGCATATAAAATTTTAATGATTGCAAATTTTTAGAATGCCTCGTGTCCCCAACACTAAAATTATCCACCGTTCCGATACAGTTTATGCAGCGCATTAAAGCTGCGAGTTTTGTGGCCGGTGAAATGTCATATTGTCTCCCAACTCTTCAAGCAGTCAAATAAAAATTTTTCTAAACTTGAATAATACTAAAGTAATTTTTAAATTTTTAATAAAACAAGTGAAAGTGAGAATTGACTTCATAAGAAAACACTGTGTTCTTCAACTGTTTTTGTTTTCCGTTTCTGTTAAAAAAACGTCGTATGTTTAATATCTTTTGGAAAACCAATAAAAGCTACTTTATTAGAAAAAAATGGATGGTAGTGGTTATATACAAATAGTCTGTTCTCGAAATTTTTGTGATATTGTTTGTCAGCCGTTGAAGTTTTCTTTCAGCATCTTTCTTGTATTTCACCTAAATTGAAGGATTATATTAGACTTTGTATTTGGAGTTCGAAATCAAATTTGCTGTCAGTAGCATCACAAAATTTCACTGCATTATCCATGAAAACAATACAAACGCAGTAACGACATAAATGCTTACCTTCCTTCAATCCAAGGCATTTGCCCCACTCTTGAATAGAGATATTACCATCGCCGTCTAGATCACAGCTTTGCAAAAACGGCTTAATGCATGATTCCATAGGGATTACCGGTGCCGTAATTGGGATCAACTCGTGATGCGAAACATACTTATCATGCGGTTTTTTGTCTAAATCACAAAACTTCCAAATCACTGGATAGACATGACGTTTTTCATCATCGTTTTCTGCTTCTGCAAGCAGTTCTTCCCATTCCAAATTATGCAACTCACGCCTTTTTTTAAGTTCTCGCATTACCTGGAATTAATTCTTTCGCAACGCGTTGAGATAGAGCAACTGTAATTTTGATTACGATCAACTCCAATCAGACATAAATTAGGGTTAATACATGATTTTCACACCGAATTTGGAAGTATCAGTATAATCCTGGCTCACCTCATTTTACTTAACTGCAGAATACTAAAAACAGATAAAACTACTGTGATTAATGTCATAATGAACAAGTGAGTAAGACGACCTCACCTGGAATAGCCAGTCCGCCATTCGGGTTGGAAATTGAATCATCAATTCGTCTGTACATCTCTCGAGTTCTTTGCAGGAGCCAAGGTACTCCAAATGAGCTTTTGAATTTGCTGGATTCTAAATAGGTACATCTTAAAAAAACAAGAATAATTAAGGTAGCACTGCTTAAAGCAGGTCTGTAAAATGGTATACGTATAGAAAAAAAATTACTTTCGCAGTAAATAGAAAAAAAAAGAAAAAAAATAAAAGATTTTTATTCTTTAAAGAACTCGCTTACTTCACATTTTTTAATGTCTTTTTTGCACAGACACTTTTCTCGATACAAATGACACAACGATGGGAATGTTTCGTTAGTGCTGGCACATACCTGGGTATGTCTTCATGTAATAATAGTAACAAATAAAACAGTGATATCAAGAAGTAAAAAAAAGAAAATAGTACAAAATACGATAGAATCGTTTTTTGTTCCAAATCTTAGTTTGAAAGGCAGACTAGAGGTGAGTAAGTTAATATTTGAAGACATACTATTAAATGTTAACTACTAAAAAAAAAGTTAAATTACTAAAATTAATATTTTTTCTCTTACAAAAAAAGAAAAGATAAATATTTGTTGCTCCTTAAATACGTGTGACTACTTCCACCACTTTTGCCAGTAACTTCCTATACACCTATAACACACAAAATCATGAAAAATCCTCCAAATGAGAGCAACTGCGAACATTCTAAGAAAATCATTTGGATTAAATACGGCTTGATACCTTATAAAAATTTTTCTTCTACTACTATGCTGTGATGAAAAAACTTCCCAAATATCATGATGTTGATTTATTTCAAAATATCAATACATTAGTTTTTAAACACTGCAGCTGGCAGCAAAAAGAGTGCAAAGTCAGAAAACAATTGTAAGCGAATTTTAAAGAAAACTAGAACTCACAGCTGCGCGGCAAACCTATTGACAGATGATGCAAAATGATTTATTTGCGATACACAAGTAAGCAAAAAGGGACATGAACGTAATTTAAGCTAGACAAGTTTTCAGAACGAACTTTTGCTTACCAACTTAACCGTTCAACTCAACATTTTACTATACTCTCAATAACCTTCAACAAAACAATATTTTTCTTTTTGCCGTCTGAAAAAATCACGTGATTTCACTGCTCTATTCCAATAAATTTGTTACTTTATAAAAATAAAATCCACACTATGTCTAATCATGGCTATATTAATTTAAAATTTTTAATTTTTTAACGTGTAATTTAGTAAAAAAATTTTTGGGCGAACGGAGGGCAGTTGGGAACTATTTCCAAGTTGGTAATTTAAATTCAAAAGTAAAAAAGCCACTGCATACTTTTACTGTTGGATCATCCTCATCGACTGATGGACATTTCGAAATACATTCGCACATCGGTTCCCCATACTTATCAACAACACATTCCTTACCCCAACCGCAAACCTGATCTTCGCATGGATTGCGTTCCGGTTCTGGTTTTGCTAAAAATTCAACTCTTCAACTTCGCCATGGGAAATATCTGCAAATCTCATCGAATGTGTCAAAGAGAAAACCATTCTGCTCAACAGTATTAAGCTGTGCAGCTAGTCATTTGCTTGAGGAACCTGCTAACTCAAACATTTCGGATCAGCAGTTCCTGAACTTAATTTCAGTCCATAAGCGAACAGTTTATTGCAGTTTAGTGTCGCGAACGAACAACAAATGTTTAGAAATTATATGAGGAACAGCTGCGCTGTTGCAGCATAGTTGACGGCAGTAGTTTTAATTTCACTTATATTTAACGCCAAAACAACTTGCCATCACATCGTATCGGATTCTTTTACACTAGCAAATCAGCTTTCTGCTTCAAATAATATAATTTAAACTTTGATACAAAAAAATATTCTTGCTACCTGCGTTAAGATGATGCAACAATGAGTTTCACAAATCATATCCATTAGATAATATTAAACTAATAAAAAGAATTTTAAAAAAAATGGTCTTAAATGGAATGACGTTTTCAGAGAAAAGAAGAGGAGAAAGTCATAGATGCATCTATTACGTCATCATTCTTCCCGTCTAACATATTTTTTTCCCACTGTTCTAAAAAATCCACCATTCCCTTTATTTGAGCGTTCCATATTGCTAAAATTTAAAAAACAACTTTTTTTTCTCACAAAATAGTTGTTAGTGAAGTTAATTGAAATTTAATGTTGAGAAATACAGTTGCATAACCTTTTAATGAATCAGCTTCAAAATCATCAAAACTTTTTTCGTCAATATTCTCCAGCAGTGCTTCAAGTTCATCCAATTCATCAGAGTGACCCTAAATTCAGGCAACATTTTAAGGTGATTCACTCAAGTTATCTGCTTTCAAAATTGATAAGTATCTAAATAGAACGATATAGAGGAAGCGTGTTTAAATACGCTATTGTTTTTATCAACACTTCCCGAAATCTCACAGCCAGTATTCTAAAGAACTAAAAGAGAAAGAATTCAGAATAAGTAACTTTATGTTGCCGTTCCTTAGAAAAAAACTTATTTGGCTATCAAGAGTCAACAGATTCTACTGTAAGACAAAAATTACGTAAATTATCAAAACTGAAAAAAAACTACAACTTGTCGCTCAAAACTACTCTTACCTTCTTGGAATCTCCAAGGTGTACGGAGATCAGCAACGGAATAGTAAGAACCAGAAGAATCCTCATGCTGACTATTTGTTTATAACAACTGAAAACTAACGGCAAAGTCCTCTTCTGTCTTCAAATGACCCGCCCACATGGCAACAATTGTCCGGTGCTCTGCAAGATGCTTAACTATACAGATAATCATCATCAATCCCTAAAAACTTCATTCGCATTCTTGTCTAACAGCAGAAACTAGGCCGTATAAAATCTCAAGTGCGAGTTGCTCTCTGTCAAATTTACATAACTTAAACTCCGCTAAAATTATGCATTTCAAAGTTAAGTGTTCCTTAGACAGTATGGCTGCATTGTTAAATCGGAATTACTACCTTAAATTGTTGAGAACGGGTCATACACCAAAATCGTTCACAAAGAGTTTAAGCAACAACACAGAAACTTAATCCAGGGCTATTTCAATCAAAGAAGTTTACTTAATAATAGCAAATGAATTTCGAGAAGCATTGAACCGGAACTAGAAGGCTATGCATTCGACAGTGAACCGCTAACTCTTCAAATAAATGAACCTTCTGATGCTTATGGGCTGAATAAAATATTTCTTCATGTCACTGTTGTCTTGAACCTTTTTTTTTTTAAACCACATTAAAAATAGATTCTATTCGAACAAAGCTAACACAAACAATTTGTTTCATGATAGATTGTTCGGCACGAATGAACTAAAAAAACTAAAGTTATGCATGAAACAAAATTGGAAAATTATCATGATTATAAACACGGTAACTGTCCAATAAAAAGGAGGTTTTGAGCTGTAGACTTGAAGATGGCAGCATAAAACTGAAAATTTTGAAAACGATTGTTCAATAAAAGAAGCCTCCAATCTGGATTAATTTTTTATTTCAAAGTCAAAAAAAATGCTTTGTGAAATGTTTTTCAAAATAATAGTGTTTTTTGCTGGTAAATCCCACCAAAGAATGTAAAACTTATATTAGATGTAAACAATCTACTGTAGCAACAGTTTTCAATTTATATAATTGAACGAATATGAGGACTATTCCTGCATATAGATCAGGTACTCCGAATATTTCCCGGTATATGACAAACCTCTTATACTAGTTTGTTCGTTTATTAATCTTATCACACCAAATCTAAAAATCTCATCAATTTACATTTTTTCAATCTCCATATATTTAAATGCTAACTTCTGCTCACCACTACCAGTTACTGCTTTTCAAATTCGCTACTTTCGACTTGTTAATCGGATGCTCCCTTAAATACACATTTGTGTCCAAGTACACTGATTCAGTTTCGGAGACTCCTTTCCCAGCACTTTCAGTAAATACCAAATACATCAGCAACTTACTTCATCTTTGAAAAATAAAAAAAAAAAAATTACTGCTTTCTCGGTTTTCTTTTCACATACGTGTGTTATGCTAGAAAACATTTATAGCCTCTTCACAAATAAAATTTTTTAAACAAATTAAAAGTAAAAATTCCCTTAACTTCCTTAACTCCACAAAACCTTCGAATCTCTTGTTCTTCAGCTGTGCGTAAAATGCGTATTCGAACAAAACACTCTTTAAAAAATAAAAAGTGAACGTATACAGGACAAAAACGCATGACTTTTTAGTAAGACTTTTAAGAAAAAACACCCAGTGTAACTATTAATGATCAGAAATCCTCAAAATATTGTAAGATACCTAGAAACGCTTTAATAGGCCTAAAAAAAGGAGAAGAACAACCAGTAGTTTTTCTGCCACGAGAACTATCATTAAAAGAATTCGCTGTATCTGAAATGGGCGAATAAACTGATTAAGGCAAATCACAATCAGTACTTCAAAGTACGTTGACAACAAACATTATTTAAATGCTTTTTCTTACAGCATAACGTTGGATTTTAGATCATCCAAACTCATTACAAAAACTGCTCCCGAAAAGAATACCTGCAAAAATATATCTCAAGTTCAGCCTAATTTTATCAGTATATGAAAACGTCTTCAAACACCTGCTTGAAATAATGTAGGATGAAATAATACCGCCACATCAAACCACACTAGACAGAGACTTTTGCAGGATGTTTTGCACCAAGAAAAGTTAAATTTCCTCTTGAAGTAGCCTCCAGTACATTTAAAAACTGCTCTTCTTCTCCCGAAAAACTAAATATTACATCTCATAGCTCTTGTGCTTTCCTCCACTCTTCAGTAAGGAAACAACTCAGAAAACAGCAATAGACCACAATTTACTAAGAAACAGTCACCGAACTGAGATAGAAAATCCATAGGCAAACAACGATGTACCCAGCTTAGAGGTTTAAAAAAACCATTCCAAAACCGAAGTTTGATTCTCCAAACTGCTAAAAAGTCCAGTGCAAAAACCCCCTAAATGCAAAAACTTCAAGTAGCAAGACATTATTCCACATTCAAACCGTTACACCACACCCCAATTCCAACAAATCTAACACTGCTAGAAAACCGGATTTCTAGAAACCCCCATAAAACTAGTAACACTAAGACTCCTGTAAGCAGCCCTACTTGCTTCTCAGAAGTAGTGTAACCCCAACCTGAAATGCTTAACCCTTGCCAGGGACAACTCATCGGAAGACAGTGCTTGTCACTCTTCAGGCAGAAGTTACAGATCTAACTTATTTTCTACTCCAAAAAAGAAAATATATCACCTAATTGCCCACTCAGCTGCAAATGAATGTTTAACAAGTAAGGATTCTTGTATTTACCAAAACTCTTGGAAGCGCACAAAAAAAGTGAAGTGTAGCTACAACCCGCACAAATTCTCTTCCACTTTAATTTCAGTAAACTGCATTTCTCTACTCATAATGCTAGTCTTGAATGAAAAAAGCCGTTCATTTCGAAGTGTGGACACTGTTCTGTAATTAAAAAAAGACGGGTTTTAAAATTATTGTATTAATCTTCTACGCCGTACCTAAAACGATCCCTAAGTCAGTTATCGAAATTGTAACTCGACAACTACATTATTATACTCACTTAGGGACGAAAGAAGCACCACAAAAAGGAAAAACAAGAACAAGCGGAAGTCTTTAAGGCAAACAAAAATTAGATAATACAACTACGTCTTCCGAACTTTCTGTGGGCAAAGAAACTACCTAATAGAATTTTTATCTCCAGCAAAATGCAAATGGAGAACTCGGCTAACAAAGCTCGGTTTTCTTCTTCTCACTAACGTGAATATTCCAAACGTTAATAAATCCATGCAATATCAGTTCTACTACATTATCTTTCTGTGAAATATCAGAATAAAAAAGGATCACGGTTTGTATTCAATTCCAAAACCGACGTTGTGACCGGTATCCTTAAGGTCTGCGATTCCAAATTGTGTAGACAAGATGAGTTTCAACTGGAAAAAAAAAATATAAAAGTCAGCTTACACATCAAATCCCACCAAGTGAGATACTAAAGGCTCACTAAAACTAGTTTTTACTGACTCCCTGATCACAAAAATAAATCAGATTAATGTTTATAATAAAAATAATGGTATTATCATGGTGAGGAAAATAACCAGCTGCTCGATAATTACCTTATCTGTAATATAATGGGTTGCTGATATTGCAAGTTTAGACTCGTTATTAACTTTCGCCTTGAGTTCTAATTCCCGTGAAGGACAATATTTAGCAGCTAAACCAAACCTAGCTGCATTATCACCAGTCGTCCATCCCAAATGTGCGCCAACTTCGACGTTCTAAAATGTTTCTTAATATAAACAGCACAACTCGTTCAAAGGTATTAAATAATGACCCAAGAAGAAATTAACAAAAAAACAGAACAAATGACGCAAAACCCTGGCTCCTCAGCACCACCAAACAAGTAAAAAAAGTAAAAATCCTAATAAAAAAAGTAAAACTTACTTTAGCCACTTTATGGTACAGGGATGCCCCGAATCTATTTCCATTTCTTACAAACGAGAAGAGTGAATAGTCGTGCCCATCCTTTGCAAAAGCAAAATCTGTGTTCTAAAAACTCTGGCGTTTTAGCACATTGAAAGATAAAAACTATAAAAAGTTGCTTGCACACCAATCGACAAAGTGGCTTTCTTTAATGCTAATGATTACTCCAAATGCTTTGAAACTTTACGTCATAAAAACAGACCGCCATCCAGCAAATGACAGATAGATTTGAGACAGAAAAGATCCCTAACTCTTTCAAGATAAAAGCCACTCTCCACATGCCTACTAAAAATACTGCATTAAAAATACCAATGCAAAGATTTATTATAATCAGCTAACCCCAATCTTACTAGATGCAGTATCCAAAGAAGATGCAATACCAAGCATCCATCCATTACGCTCCATAACCACCGAAGCGTTTACGATAGGAGCCGCATCGACTATCATATCAAAATTCACCTAAACTAATTCGACTATCAACACTACAAACAAAAAATTAATTCTTAACCCCAAACACCAGCTTGTATTAATGCTCTAAAGAACAAAAATTTATTCGCGGTAATATTTTCTTCTAGTTACCTACAACAATAATAAACAGTGGAAACAATCTGAACTTGACGTCACATCTTAAAAGATTATCATTTCCTGCTGTCTCCATATATTTCTTAAAGATATAATACTATTTTACGCTTTAATGAGCCCCAAAGATCAGAAATATTTCATGACTTCTCGCAGACTCCAATCACATTTCAATGAGCATGTCAGTTATAAGAAGAGATACAGTTCAAAACTAAAACGGAAAATTAGTTACTAACAACTTTATAGCCTAATAGCTATGTTTCTGCAAGCCTAAAACTTACAGTCATATTATCCCTCTGCCATTCACCCTTCAATTTGCCAGAGCGTTTTCCAGTCTGTGGCCTGTATGAGGTGTCCAAAGTGACTTTTAAATCCCTTGCGAATTGATCTTTAATTTCAAGCACCGAACCCAGCACATTATCTGTGTTCCACTTCTCGGTTAAAGTAAGACCTAAATAATCAAAAAACAAACTCGACTAGGTGCAAAAAAGTGAGAAGTAAGAAATAAAAACAGGAATAAAGATGAAAGCTGGAAAAAATGCAAAAAAACTACATTTTCTTGTAACTAGTTATAAAAATTAGTCGCAATATCCGAATTAACAAATACCCAAACTCTTTTTCATTCTTTCAGCAAAGGCAGATCTACATTTTTGGTGTACAACCAATAAATCTGCAGCGCTGCGTATTACTTAACATTACCAGATTTCAAGATGAAGCAAACTTTAAATCAAAGCATCTTGTTACAAAAGCACACCTGTTAAAAGCTGCCGCGCATAAGACTTCAATTAAAGATAAATGCTTCCAAATAAAAATGAAAAATCACTGATTCTCCTCCTGTGACAAATCTTTTACAGTAAAAATCTAATCACATCCGAGTTTCTTATCGCACTCTTGAAAAACCACTTTGTTAACGAAAAAGTTACAGCACCAAGTTTGAAAGATCTGATAAACCAAAAAATGCGCGTGATTGTAAGTTTTAAGTCTTCCACTCTGAAGAAGCATGTGGTCGCAATAACCTGGAACCTTCAAGCAAGACGATCCTAATCCAAACGGTTTGTTAAGAAACGACAAAACTAACCATATGAGGGGATTTTGTATTTGACGTCTAAATTTCCCAAAAAATGTTTTGTAGCTGTTGCATGAGTTGCGGTAGTTTTAAACTCAATTGCTTCGCCACTCTTTGATGTAGTCGTTGATTCCACCTTCAGCAAACCGACATCTAAATGCCAAACGTTTCACCAATTACATAACCAATCCAATAAGCTAACAGGAATTATTGATAGGTCAATGTAGAGAACTAGTGACGAGAGTAGGCTCCTAATGGCAGAATCTTAAACAACTCGCCAACTAAAAAAAACCAATTTAAAAATATCGACTCTGAAGTGCTTCATTTAAACATCGCTAGCGTAAATTGAACTACTGATTTAGACAGGCGGTGAAAGAGCACTTACTGAAACCCTTGTCAAAGAGGTCGCGAGCTGACTTCCCGAGATCAGCAAAACATGGAGGAGCCATTGCTCTTTGCCTAAAAATGAACTTTTACTTCTATTCCATTCTTTGGAACATAATCAGTAAAAAATTCGTCATTTTGTAAACTGTAAACAAGTTATTTTAATTAACACCTAAAAAACACTAATAAACTCAAGA